TATGTCTGTAGAGCAGTTATGACCATATGGATGTATCACTACATTTCTCCTCCTAAGGTGAACTTCCGCCTATATTATAATTTTCACTACTAATGCATTATGATATTGCCACTATATCATGCTTACAAAGTCACCATGTAATAATATAATTTCATGACATATTTAGATGGGTACCAATCACCCTATATTTATTGACTACTATCATTTCACCACATATTTTGTTAAAAACATGTCATTATATGCTTCTATTTAAAAAATCATATATAATAAATGTTTATAACTCCTGCATAATTCATAATATATCATGCAACTTTTTTTTTCCAAAAACTCCCAAATTTCTTAAAACATATACATGTACATATAAATATAAATTATTTAATATGCACATGTCATCCACTTATAAACAACTCTATTAGCTAATAAATAACATAGAATATCTAGTTATTTTAATCCTTTTATATAAAAAGAGTTACCTATGGTCCACTTATACTCCTAATACTTTGTTAACTTCAAAGAGGTTCCAACTATTAAAATCTACGATGCAAAAAAATGCATGTTAATTTTTCAATTTAACATTAGTACTTCCTAGCTAAATTTAACCAAATTTAGCCACCTACAACCTACAATTATAAAATTTAACTTTTATAGTTAAAAAATGACTAGTTGCATTCGATGAAAAACTTTCAAAACAAATTTGCTTTTTAATCCTAAATTTTTTTTAGATAAATTTGAATCCTAAACCTTTTTATTTATGCTAGTTAAAATTTTTCACCAATTGAATCATTTTTAACCCAACCCAACGTTAGTTAAAAATGACGAAGAGTACATGTGGATAATTTTTAATATGCTAGAAGTTTGCTATTAGCAGATTCCTCTCTTCCTTTTGGCCAATGCCGGCCATTAGTTGATCTCATGAATGAATCTATTGCATAAATGAGGTAGACAGGTAAAAGCAACAAAAATATTATATCCAGGTTCAAAGAAAAGAGTAAAAAACTGTGATGATTATTGTCCTTTTTTATTAGTTTTAATAAGAAAATAATTCATTTATAAATCATCCGCATGTCCAGTACCCGTCATCAAAAAAATAGCAAATTGAAAATAACCAAACTAGAGGAACATAAAAGATATAAAGGACTCAATTAGCTCGTCATTCAACAATCAATATTTTCCTGATGTATAGGTATTCTCTTGAAAGATTCAGTCATGGGCAACAAATAACTAGCTAGTTTGTTGCATGTTCTTTGAGGCCTTCATAAAACAAAAAACAATCAAAATAGCTTAGCTTAGTGGGTTAATTAGTTGCACTAGTATTATATTTTTAATAGAATATTAATCCATATTTTTAGGTTATGAGTTATTTTTAGTTATGCTAAAGAAACACTAATTCATCGACGGACGTTAGTCCTGGTAGAAAGGATTATGTATAAAGTTCAAGTCTACGTGAATGCCAAAAAAAAATATCTAAAAAAATTATTTTCAATCAAACTCAACAATATTCAAATATGATCTAATCCTTGCTCACATTTTTTTTAAATAATTAATAATGATAGTTCTTGTATCGAGCTTGCTCTTTAGTCATAAGCTCAACATGGTCCATTTTATAATCAAACAATTACCCCTCACATTTATCATAAGAATATGATAAATTGGATTGTTTTTAAGTAAAGAAACCTGATAATAAAGCTCAGAAGTTTGATCTACCCAAGGGTCAACCACTCATGGCGATATTCATCCACTAAAGGTTATATTTCTATCAACCCACAGCGAGTTGGTGGATTAACGGGCTAATCCATCAATAGAAAAATATTTTTATATATATTTTTTAATTTTAAAAATTAAAAATTCATCAAAATGTTATGATCTTTATCTTTGATTAATTATCATCATCACACAATTAAACATGAAAATATAATTAACATGTAAAAGTCTAAAAAGTAAAATCAAATTTGACAGTAATTTGAATAAAGGTTAGTGGGCTGGCCTTTTTTTTTTTGCTGGCTAAGAAATTTTGAATTTATTGAAGTAAAATGTAATAATAAAGATAATGCAAGAAAAAATAAAGTTAAAATTTGTTTACGACTTGACAACCTAGTAACTCATAATTCAAAAGCTACTGAAGAGGATTTGAATGTTGATAATGATATATAGATCATTTTAAATGACTTTAAAAATGATTCATGTACCACTAGGGACGGCACTACTTTAAAGGGCAACACAATGATAGAAGCTGAATCCACATAATCTTTACAAAAAATAGATGATTATACTGTTTGTGTCTACTTGAAAATATTTTACTCAGATTAAATTGTGAAAAAATATTTGGTTAGGTGCATACTGCACTAATGCACTTGACTGGTCATGAGTTTACAATTATCTCAGCTAATTAAATGTGACAAGTAATAATGATAATAAGTAAAAAGCACGTAATTTAAATTATTCCAATCTAATAATTTGAATAATGATGAGGGTTTGATAATTGAGAGAAAGATGTTGTGATTTTTATCTTTTAAAAAATAAAAAAGCGGGCCAACTCAAGAATTGACCCACTATATATTCAAGCTATATAAGGTGAGCCAAAACCGCCTTGCATAAAAATGAATATATTTTTTTCAAACCAACTTGTATTTTTTTTTAGGAGTTGGCAGGTTGATTCCTATTACAAACTCTATCTTTCAGATTCTTTTCAAAAACATGAGATTATCTTTTGCTAAGTGTCATGATTTTGAAAGTGTAAAAATGTCATACATAGTTGCCGCAATATCAATCATTAATTTATAAAATTCACCATTTTTCATAGATAACTTCTGTTTAGCTACACACATTCATATTTAACCGCTTATAATTCTCATGATTTCCAAATTACTCCTAATCCATAATTCTTGTAAGTCTCATCTAAAAAAGATGAAGAAAGGGTCAAGCTTCTGTTTTGACTAAGCCAACTTTATACACATACACATACATATGTCAAATAAAAGAAAAAACGGTTTTGCGTACCCAAAAAAAGAGAAAAAGTAAAAAACGGCTTTATCTGAAGATACTGGTCTCCCCCGGCTCATCGGCTAGTGGTCAATCCTAGCCCTTCTCGGAAGACCGTGAACCATTTCCTGGTCACAGCTGTCTCTCATTATTTACACGTGTCACGGTGTCAGAAATGCTTTTAAGAAGCTCATAATATTATGTGCTTCGTGGGTCGTTGGCAAAAATTAAAAAAAAAAAAACAAAAGAATGGGTTAAATGTTGCATGAGATTTATGCAAATCCACATCATGTTTTGGAGCAGTGGAAAGCTATTAGGCATCACATTGAAAGACCATTAGGCTCTAAAGGAGGCCCAGAATATTAATGGGCTGGAAAAAGGGCCTACAGTTAAATTGCTTTCAGAATTTTGCCCTTGTACTGAATACTGATATTTGAGGACAAGGTCACAATGATCATTTTCAAAGAAGAGCATAATAAGACTTACTGGTTTGGGATAATTACAGAATTAGTATTGAAGTTAATGAGGTTAAAAGGCAGTTATTCGATTTGGTTTTCACCTATACCATAAATAGGGGATGTTATGTTGTAACCAGGGAAGTTATTATTATTTCTTTTTGGAGGGAAGATTAAGGGCCTATTTGACAATCTATTTTGAGAATAATTTTTTATTTTTTAGAATAAAAAAAAACTTATTTGGTAACATGTTTTCAAAATATTTTAAAGAACAAAAAAGTAAAATATTATTTTAAAAAATAAAAAAATAAAAACAACTTTCAGATATTTTGAAATTATTGTTCTGAAAAATAAAGGATTATTTTTTTTATTCTCAAAACATATTTTATAAAACACCAGTTTTTAAAACAATAAAATAAAAACAATTTCAAGTAGCCCTTAAAATTTTTCTTAATTCGTTCCTGAAAAGCCTTAATTTGTCATGAAATTAAACCTTGCACTTTGTTCACAACTAGTAAATAATTTACAGAGCAAAACCCAAATAAGTTTTACTTGCCTAATATTTATTGTATATTTTACAAACTTAACCTTAAAAATTATAAAATCAAATTGAATAAAAATGTTATTTTTAACTTTAACATTAGAAAATAACATAATTGTTCAAAAATTGTTAGACTTTCCAAAGATTAAAAAAAGTAAGACAAAGAATCAGTTATGAACTTTTCAAAAAGTTCATCAATATAATAAATGTTCGATATACTGCAAGTCTGCAACCGTCGAAACTACTAATCAAAAGCAAATAAATACGGAGAAAAAATTCTCATAGAAATGTAATAAATAGTATAAAATACCTAGGTCAAACAATTGTGGAACACGCTGGACATTCTAATTGCAATTAAATCCTATTCCACCCCGTCTTGAAAAACACCTTGCACATGAAATAAACATTCAGAGATGTATGCCACAGAAAACATAATCAAACCCTTAATATGTAGGCAGATAAAAATGGGGGAAATTTAATATGTTGTGGCCCTAGCAGACTGCAACCATGGTATCACACATTATTAAAAGAAATACATGCCAAAGATTGACTTAGGGTCCGTTTGGATTTCAGTTGAGTATAATAGATTACGAAATAATTGATTAAGTGATAGATTTTAATCAGAATTGATTATGTTATAATGCAAACTGTTTGGATATTGAAATTGATTTCAACTGTACAAATTATCATAAAATACATTGCTTTTTGAAATTAAATTATTAATAAAGTTGTATTTAATATTAATAAATTTCTTAAATTTTATTTAACACAATTATGAATTATTTACAAATTATTTATTATTAATATGGTAAAATGGAAACCAGAAGCAAGTATGAATAGATTAACAAAAAAATCGATTTTAGCATGTTTAATCGATTATCTCATTATTATGCTGTTTGGCAAATTTTGTATTGAAAATCGATTAAACCCCAAAAAATCGATTCTTGACGCAAACCAAAGGGGCACTTAAACATACAGAAATGTATGCAAGAACTGAGAAGAAAACAGATCAAAGAGCATGGAGAGGAAAAGAATATGTCGTTACATATACCGAAAAGCTCAAATTCAGTGAGTATAAAATTCAAGCCAAATGACATTCCACACATAAAAATAATATCACGGGTGACAACAACAAAAATAATCCATTCATCGAAAAATAAACTTTACTATCACCCCAACAAATCATGGCTACGGGGTGAAAGGATGTGACCATACATATAGTAAATTAAAAAAAAATAGAGCAGCGTAAAAAAAAAAAATAATTCTAGTCAGCCAGCTTTGTCAGCCGATGAATGGTACTTCTTGCAACCCTATTACCAGGATCAATTTTAAGAACATTCCTCAGGTCTTCCGCACCAAGCTTGTACTTTTCCATGCTCTCATACAAGAGAGCACGTTGCACCAATATAGATACATTTGTGTCATCGGATTCTAGCACCTGTACAACATAATGCAAACCAAACAACTCACCCTCCAAATAAATATGATAACGATCATGACATGATTCAGTCCATCTCAAATAGAGAGCAACAATATAGAAGAATTTATGCATTAGCCATCCCTATTAAATTCAAGAACTAAAAACAAATGCTACCAAGAGCTTTTACAAGTACATTCAATTAAAGTATGATACTTTAGTATATTGCCACCCATTGTTTTTGTTTTCTTTCTTTCCCTTCAAGTCATTATTATCAAGATAATTAACTATTAACTAATAGCTTAATACACTAGTAGCATACCCCAAGATAGAGCCATCTAGTTTAATTTGTTCAACAATTAATGCAATCTTAACAATTATGACTACTATGTTCTACATCTAAATATACTGAATAAACTCATTACCTTTGGTTTGAATTTAAAAAAAAAAAAAAAACTGTTTCAACTTTCAAATCGTTAAGATATCAAAGTATACCTTTGTACAATCGGCCACTGCTTTTTTATACTCTCCAACTTCTTTGTAACATGAGGCTCTGCATGACAGTACCTCTGTCATACCAGCATTATCCTCTGTTTTCTCAAGAAGTATGACAGCCCAAGACAACCACTTAATAGCATCTGCGAATTGACCTTGCTTGTAATTGTCCATCCCTTTACCTTTTGCTGTCAAACCAGTTAGACCAGCAGGAGGAGGTGGAAGCCCTTCAAGCTCAGTAGTTGTACCACCCACATCATGTGCTCCTCCACCAAATTCAGAATCCAAACCCCAATCATCAATACCAGAAGATGATTTTCCTCCAAATCCTTCTGAAGGCACAGCAGCACTTCCGGCTGCAGCCGAGGAAGATGAGAAGAACATGTCTATAGGGTCACCACCAGCAGATGTCTGCATAGGTTTCTGATTCAAATTAGTAGATCCTGTAAAACTGATATCATCTGCTATAGAACTACTTGATGGGAATGTTGCAGAGCCTGGTTTGGAAGCATTCTGGAAATCTCCAAAACCATCATCCTCCACGTTATTATTTTTAGCGGCCTTTCCAGCTGAATTAAGGCTACCAGATGGTTTTGATCCAAATCCAGCCAAAGAGCTAAATGGATCTCTATTAACATTCGTTCCACTTCCAGCTGAACTACCACTATTCATACTTCGCATTGAAGGACCACCAAGATTTGGGCTCTTATTAGCGCTAGTACTAGTATTAGTATACCCAGAAGATCCCCAGCTTCCACTATTTTTTGTGGTGTTACTGGTTTTAGGCAAAGCACCCGCCATATTATCCATCGAGAAGGAGCTCTTATTTGATGTAGTACCTGATGCCTTAGAAACAGGAATCGACTTTATAGGAGCATTATTGCTACCCTTAGAATTCTGTCCCAAAGCAGAGCTCACCAAATCTCCAAAGAGATTAGGGTTTTTATTAACAACTCCAATGGTCGAACTAGAAGCCGAAGGTTGTGTCGATCCCCAACTCTTGCCAAAGATATCCCCCGCCATTGAAGTTGGTCCGCCCGGCAATCCGGACTGATTCGCCAGATTCGGTGCTGGCTGGTGAGTCCATGATGGCTTGTTGGGTTGCCACGAGGGTCTTGGCTGCCCAGACGAATATGAAGAAGAGGAGGAAGAATATGAATGGGACGACGATTTCGGGTTTTTCTGATCGTTCAGAGATCTGGGCCGATTCGAACCGATCCCGATATCAAAATCGAAATTGAAGTTCTTCAGTGAGGCAGACGAAGCACTCGTTTGATTGGGTTTGCCATAATTTGAATTCATCCCTGGATTGTAAGTGGAAGATGAAAAAAAACAGATCAGAAATGGAAAAACAAAGGATCTGCAGCGATGAACGATCCAGACAGGAAGTGATTCGCGAGACTTACTTCTAACGGGGAGAGAAAAACAACACAGATGGGAATGGATTGTAGATAAACTTATCGATGAAATTATCTGGGGATCAAATCACGGTGGTTTACGTCCTGCCTACGGTCAATCCCTTTTATCTGCCCAAAAACTCACATGTATACAAATAATGTACTCTTTAATTAAAAAATATAATATATCTTTTAAGTGAGGTTAGTTACTTAAAATATTTTAATATATAGTTTAAATATTTTTAATAAATAAATTATTTTATATTTATTTTAAAATAAAATATTATATTAAATATAAATAAATATAAAAAGATGATATTAATTTAAGAACAAGTAATATTTTTTTATTTTTTATAAAAAAAATTATTATAAGTAAAATTATATTTTTTAATGAACGTTTATTATAAACTTTTTAAATTATCTTTTATAATTTTATTTTTATAGTCATAACAAATAATTAATAAAAATTTAATTAATATAATTAATAAAAATATATTATAATTAATTCTTTTATTTTTTAACACAATTAATATAATTAATTAATTTTTTTAAATTGTATGATATAATTTTTTATACAAATAAAAATAAAAAAGAACTTTATTTGAAGTAAAATTAAATTAAAAATATATTATATTTTTTAATAAAAAATATTAACATCATAGTATTTTATTTATTTATTTTAAAATTCACGGGAAATAGAGGGTGAAAATGAAGTGTGACAACAATTTTATAAAATATTGTTAATGGAAATTTATTCTAATCAATTAGTTTTTTATTGAGCAGTGATGCTACGGCTAATTATTTAGTTAATTGCTTTTATAATTACACATTTTTATAGTTATTTTATTTAATATGATGTCTCAATTTAAAAATGTTATTAATTACACTTTTTAATTAAATATATTTTAAAAAATCTCATTAATTGCATTTTTAAAAAAATGCTTCATATTTTTTAATATGTTATTTTAGAAGAAAAAAATATCTTGTATTTTTGAATAAATGGAGACATTCTTTCATTATTTACTTTCATTAACATTATGTTCATTACCTCGTGATCCATGTCTAATAACAACGTTAAAAATTTTAGACTTCTAATAACAACGTTAAATATTTTAGACTAACTAAACAGGCCTCCTGAGTGTACTGTCATTACAGGAATGACCTTGATTAAGATCTTAAACTTTGTTGTTGGGTTGTTCTTGTCTTTAGCCTTCTTATAGTATTTTTTTAAAAAAAAATAATAAAAAGGTTGGAGCCACTCGCAGCACAAACAAACAAATAAATTATTTTTTTGATTAGGCATACCACGATTAAAAGCTTGCAATTATAAATTGATCATGGGAAATTCAATCATAAATTTTTACACCTAGAGGGAAGAACATTGAAAATTCTAGTATTGGAATTGTTATGAACCATTTGATGAGCAAGCCAACCAATTTATTAATTCACTTATTTAAAATTGTGATTAATAGAAACTTTTCAATCTCTTGAAAGCAGACTTCTAATTACGTTGATAATACTAATGAGAGGGTGAGTTTCAATCTTTTGAGACTTATCAATCAATGTATGTTGATCATATTTATTCTGTATGAGATGTATAATTTTTAAAAAGCTGCTGTGAATACTACCGTAAAAATGTTTTCCATTCCAATAAAGGGGAAGAATCATTAGAGTCAACACCATCAACATCTAATCCAATCCATCTTGAATCAGGCAGGGAGTAAGTATCCTAATATCTTATAAGAAGGCCATTCACATCTTTTCAAATTAAGGTCATTGATTGATGTTGAGTGCTTGAAGAATGAATAAATAAGCAAATTATCCTGTCCAATTTAGGCTTGAATTCTCTCCATCTTTTTTTCCTTTCATTCTCTCACAACTTGTCATCTCATTTATTGGTTTGGAATTTGAGCGCTTCAAACTTAATATTTTGTAAAATAATTTTTGAATATTTTGTATTATAGTTCAAAAAATTCGGACCAAATTTTGGGAGTTTGAATTGATTCTTCTAATTTTTAAAAATTATTAAATGTTAAATTTAAACTATTCAAATTTTGATCTATTAAAATAGGAAGTAAATGGTTACAATAGGAAGCAAAGAAGTGGAGGGGGGAAGATGGGAGAGAATCCAAGTCAATCCAATCCCCCAATTCCCCTTCCTACTCTCTCCACTACCCCCCCCCCTTTTTTTTTTGGGGTAATGATCTTATTCTCCACTACCCATTTGATTCCTTGTGCTTCCACTTCCATGAAACGATGTAGTTTCACTAATTTAAATATAACCTTTCTTCTTCATCCTCCTTTCCCTTTTGTTTGGTGCCCTCCCAACTCCCAGGTGGCCGTTACTCATTGTGTAAGCCAACAAATTGCTGTGGCCTATTGAGACTATTTTCTCATGTACCCAACCTAACGGCAACTTGTGAGATGGCTGGAGAAGGAACATTGATGTTTTCCTTTTCAATTCCTACATTCGAAGTTTCATCGCTGCCTTTCAATCCAATTGAAAGGCTGCGCAATGAAGGAGGAATAAGATGCGCAAGGATCAAGATTCAATGCTGTAAAATATGGTTAGATAAATTCAGACTTCATTAACCACACCATTTTATGCATGTGGAGGAGCATTAGACCGTGAAAAGAAGTAGGACCCTCCAGACCCGCATGTCTGTCCCTAGGTGCTGGAGGGAAAGACAAGTGTGAAAGAATTTGAGACCGATTAAGCCATGCACAAACAATCTCGAGCAAACTAATGTCCAGGCGAGGTACATGTTCTATCTAACCTTGAGCTTGAATCACTCTTGTGGGGTATCTGATACTAATATAGCGCGCGGCTATGACCCTTCCTTCTGCTTTAGCTAAAATCAAATTAGGGTTCTCTGGGAGAGGAATCAGGGATAGATGGCTAAGTCCTGATGCTGCATGTGTTAAAATCACGATGTGGTATAACATCAAACCAAATTGAACTACTTGGCCCTCAGGGCTAACAAGGAGGCCAGTCAGGCCGGATCATTTTTAGCTTGTCTTCATGTTTGCATTTTTCAAACCAGAGGTTAGGGCATGTTTGCATGGGTCAGACCTAGTTTAGCGGATTATCAGGTTTCATGCACATCTATGGTTGTGGCTAAAAATCAGAGGCTGAGCTATGCATTATGCATCAAAATTCATCAAGCTCATGCACTGATATGATGGAAGTTAGAAGGATTGGAACAATAATCAAGATATGTAGTTCAACAACGGATTGAGAGTAGCAGCTTCAAAACCAGAAGTATAGGAAATCTGCAAGGATGGGTGCGCAAGATATTCAAGGTCGCAACATCTAACAGACGACACAGCATGTCGCAACAAAAGTTCATATGAGAAAGTAGGATCAAATTTAGATGCAAAAACAAATATCTAACATGCACATAGTTGTTTCAAGCCTATCTAACAGCCAGTGGTCTAAATCGCATGCCAAAGATGGTAAATAACAAAATCATTTTTCGTACGCGATTCAACATCTACGCATGGTTAGTAATAATGGTAGTTAATGTCCTAATTAAATGCAGTTCAAGTGCAGGTCTAGTCCATTCACCAATGAAGATCATGTGAAAAATAAGATCAAAGGTCCTTAATTTGGTCCAACAGCAACATTGGTTTTAATAAATAGATGGTCTCCAGCTTCAAATTCTATTCCATCTCTCCACTACTTGAAGCTGAGTCAAAGCTATTCATGGTCTCCGACCTTAATTTGTTCCAACAGCAAAATTGGTTTTAATAAATAGATGGCCTCCGGCTTCAAATTCTATTCGATCTCTCCCCTACTTGAAGCTGAGTCATAGCTATTCATGGTCTCCGACCCCGGTCTCTGTTGCCGCGCCTTAAAGTAGGTACACTCCCTTCATTCCGTGATCTATCCCAAGGTCTTCCTCTGTTCCTGTCATTCTCACCTTCGTCTGGTTGTTTGTTTTCAGACTTTTTATACCTGAACTGTGGCCTAGGGATTACTTTCCCATCAACAAATAAATCACCTGAAATCCACACAAACTTGTTCATGTATCATGACAACCTAAGTTCACAAAAGAAAAAATGATAAGAAAATAAACTATGACTAGAGTCGACCACATACCACCATAATCTTTGTTGCGAATATCAAGATATGAATCCGGCAATACCCAAAGAACACCAGGTAACCCTGTTAAGACAGAAAACTTTCACAAAAATGAGCATATGTAGCATGAAACGCCTACAGTAATGCTATCAATCCTCTTTGGGAGCTCAAAAGTCATTAAAATTTCTAATAACCGAGGCCCTAACATCAAGCTAATAATTCCTCCAATGATGAGTCTGCGAACAACTAATCATACGGTAACACCATCAAAACTCATCAAATGAGCAAATAAGCCTTACACAAGGCAAACATAAACGCACCACAACAACTCAAATAGGATAATTTCGCAAAGTAACCAAAAACTGCAGACAAAATTAAGCATCAAAGTGAGCCGTACCTTTAACTTTCGTTGAAAGCTCTTCGGAAATCTCAGCACCAAAACCTGTATACGTAACGGTAGCAACAGAGTATATTTTCTTTTTGGCTTCCTCCTCACTACAACAAAACAATTCTCTTCAGGAAAAACAAAGGAAGAAAAATAAAAGCCATATAAATCAAATGAACAACGCATCGCACCTTCCAACAACTTCGGCGAGGGTCTTAACATAGGTGTTTACCATTTCCTCTTCAGAGGGTTTCGGGGATTGGGGAAAATCCATGATAATAAGCCAGTGCTTCAAGTCGCAGCCCGCGAGAAGAATGGTATCCTTGGGCGGCGCACTCTTTTTGCTAGAGTCCTTAGAATCCTTAGGTTCCTCAGAGTCCTCAGGCTTGTCGTCAGCGGGCGATTCTTCTGATTCCGACACCGAAGTTTGGAAACGAATTGGGAATTTCAGGGAACGTGGAAGCAGTGGGATTTGTTTGGGGAGTACGGCAAATGCGATGCGAGAGCGAGAAGAAGCCATGGTAGAAAACGATGACGAGGAAGAAGAAGAAGAAGAAGAAGAAGAAGAAGAAATAGCTCGGAGGAGTGAAGAAGCCAAGGTGCGTCGCGCATGAGAGAACGCCATCGTCAAGAATGCAAGATCAAAGCAGTGATCAGTGGAATTTCAAGGAGGAAAAGGCAATGTGGGCTACAACCCACAATGCCCAGTGAAGAAGGGTTTTAAATTAATTATCATCGGTTCTTTTTAATTCCTTGTCAATTTTTTAAAAGAAAAAATACATGCAAAATTATGCACAAAAGTAATAATAATTCATATGAAAAGAAATAATTAAAAAAGTGGAAAAATAAAAACAATAGTAATAGATGTCTTATATTTAAATTTTAAACATGGTGATTGTGAACTTATAAAACCATAATGAAAGAGCTTTATCTGTCTCATCGGAACCAAATTTACACTAAAAATAGGGTAACAATGACAAATTAATAATCAATGCAAATTTTTTTGGAAAAAACACCTAATGCAAAATTATTCATAAAGGGATGGTCAATTTTATGTTGGGAAATTTACCTAGTGGATTTTAATTTTTTAAAGTTCTATAAAATGTATAAATTACTATTATTATTACTTTACTCTTAAGTCCTAAATTCTTTACAATTTTAATTTGATAAAAAAAATTACAACTTAATATTAAATTCATGCCTAAATTATCGTTTTTTTATCAAATTGTCATTTTTGTTTATCAAATTGTAATGGTATAGGATTTAAAATTTAAAAATATTTTATTCATTTTATGAGATTTATTGGTAATTAAACATTTATAAGGAATTTTGGAGTGGTTTTCCTTTTTATGTTTGTCTGCCAAAAAAAGTCCAGGATTTTTGAGCCAAGGAGACCAGGATTAGTTGAGAGGGAAGAATTGTCAAACCACTTCCATCATGAATGGAGATATTGTGATGGTTGGACTGAATGAGGAAGAAGACTGAAGACAAAATGATGGCGTGATATAAGTGAGAACAGCGTAAAATTATATACTAATCACATTGAATTCCACACAAAATAATCTAGGTTTAAGTTAACTCAGATAATTGTTTTGAATTTGAATATTAAAAAATAGGGATAATTAGCCTTTTTGATTTGAAAGGAGAATAACATCATAAGAATTAATTATGTATAGTTGTAAAATTTAAAGAACTCATGTATGATTATAACATTTTGAAAACTTGATAGGTAAAAATTAAATTTTAAAAATCAGATGGACAACTGACATCAACTTGAAAATTAAGAGTTTCACTGTCCCATTAAAAACTTATTCTTCAAGATCTTAAAACTGTCATGTGAATATTACACAGTTATGTATTAATCAATTGTTTATTCTTTTTTTTTTTTTGTTCAATTTCATTACCGTAGTGTATTAATCAATTGCTTATATATGATAAGACTCTGAAAATGGTATTTGACTGAGCATCAATCATGCATTAAGTGCTAACAAAGCCAAAAACTTCCCTTCCTGCTTTCTTTTGACAAAAAACAAAAGCCAGAGAAAGAAAGTAGTTTGGCACCTACCTGAATCGGAAGAGCCAATCACAGGCTGCCAGCAAATGTAAAGAAAATATCTAGATAGTAAAAGAATACTAGCCGTTACAACAGATGAATTACACTCCGTACAATCTAGAAGAATTCTACACATTGCAACAATTGGGCCCAATCTTTGACCTGGGCCAAGGACTATTGGACTACTCTAACAAAAAGAGAGATATGGTGTTGGCCACAAGAAATGGTATTCGTTGAGACTCTGAATTTCACTTCTTCATCTTCTTCTTCTTCATCTAAAAGTCCTCCTTCAATCATTTGATCGAGATCAACCATATGTATGATTATTTCTGAGACGAGAGAGGATCCAAATATTGTAGACTAAATGATCTGCTATGAGCAGGGTGGTGGAGATTGCATGCCGAGATAGAGTGGTTTGGCATTGAGACATCTGGAGGTAGGAGGGGGTGGTTTTGTTGCCTTGAGATTAATGTTGTTCAGCTGAACATGGTCGCATGGAAAATCACCACTACATCGTAAGTCCACTGCAATTTTCGAAGATGATGTTCCTCTTATGTTCGAATATTGTATCCCACTCAATTTCACACGTGATGGCTGCAGAACAAGAAGTCAAACTCAAAATCAATAAATAGATAATGCGTTTGAAAGGAAACAATAATAGACGGAAATCAAAAGGTCGATATAATATGAATCAGAGAGAGAGAGAGACCTTCTTATTGCATTTGGCAGGTTCACATTGGTATTCTTGGTCAATGACAATAGGATTCGCAACGTTGTTCATGACAATGTCGTCGAAGATTATTTGTGATGCTGCACCTGGAAACTTGTCTGGCCATGATTTGATTCTGAGACCATTAGTTGTGCCCACCATCGTGCAATTCAGCACACGAATGTTCTTCACCTCTAGCTCATCAGCGTACTTCCCAAGGCTTCCAATGCTGTTACAAATCTCAAATATCACAGTTCTATTGAGAAGGTAATTAATTAAGTACTAGATCTAAGAAGTTGTCTTGTATATTACCTAAAACCATGTCCAGGGCCACATGTGACTTTGTTAATCGCCACATTGCTTACCCCTTGAATCATAGAGACACAATCATCCCCAGTTTGAATGAGACATTTAGAAATTTTCACGTTGATGGAATGGCTCATATGAATGCCATCTGTATTAGGGCTATCTCCTGGTGCATTGATACTAAGTGTTCGTAGTCTAATGTTGGCAGAGTTGGTGATGAAGAAGTGAAACCCCATTGCATTCACTGATGATATGCCTTGTATAAGTCCATCTGTCACATTGTTGAATTGAATACTCTTCACATCCCACAAAAATTACACCCCACAAATTAAATCAGTAAACTATAGATCTAGAAGATATCCATAAAACACAATAGGGTCGTCTAAGTTTTAACTTCTCAATTAAGACTTGACAATACTCGAATCTCACTGAGCAAGCGGAGGCTTACACTGGGGAGTCTTTTGCATTCTGGGGAAGTGTCTTTGTCGCAGTCGGTGTTGGCGGCCCACATGTCTTTACCTTGGCCATCGAAAGTGCCAGCGCCGATGAGTTTGATTCCCCGGAGGTCGGAAAAGATGAGCCATTCGCCGTTGACATACTCTGAAGGGTCAGTGGAAGCGAGAATGGTGCCGTCAACTTTGATTGTGATGGCTTGGGGTGGCTTGCATGGCCCAGCAAAGAACATGGAAGAAACATAGAATTTCCCTGGTGGAACATAAAGCCTCGCTTGCTGTGGGGAATTACATACAGTTCTCCATGCTGTCATGAATGCCTGCACAAACAAACACAATATACAACACGCCATTATATTCTTAATTTCATTTTGATGTCTCCTGTCTTACGTACGTTGTCAAGCATATGGTCAGCGTCTACTGGATTTTTATCCTAAAAGTCATTTTATGCAAGAAAAATCCCTCATTCTTCTAAGCACAGCCCTAACAAAATACAGGGTCTAGATGAGTAGTTCCAAGAACCCGACCCATATTCACTATTTTATCTTCAGATGAACCTACAATGCAGGTCTATGTTTTACTTGGCGATCAGATTGGTACGTTGAAACCTGGAGATAAGTTATGATGCTTTGTTGTCTTCATCAAATCCTTTTGCATTCATGTATTTAAAAATAGACATGCATGCGACTCTCATCCTATGAACGGGCCAGGTTTATGTATCTTATTATCATAAACTAGAGTAGAACAAATTAAATAAGGGTATATGGGATTTGATTGAATTTAATTACCTGAGTGCAATCAGTGACTCCATCAGGTTTGGCTTTGAAATCCAAGACATTGATTATTTTTTCTCCTGGAAGAAGCTTGTCAACAGCTAAATTTTCACCCATGAACATATCAGGCCCAGAAATTGGCTTTTTTCTTGCTGCATCCGCACAATCAGATAATAATGACAGCACTGTAAAACTCATCAAAATTATTTTGACAACAGAAAGAACCATCCCTGGAAAGGCCATTATTGCACCTTCTTGAATTTTTGTCCCGTTTTTTTTTTGTCTTTTCTGTATTTTGTTTTTCAAATTCAAGGCCTCCTAGGAGGCAAGAGTTAAAAGTGCGAAAATGATTCTCTTTCTTTACCTCTTATTTTTATACCTTAAAAATGGCTATTTGGTGATTCTATTTTTTCTTGAAGCTTATAAATCACTGAAAGATGTTGGTTTTCTTTTTGTTTACCGTAATTAATGATGCTATCTATGTACTTCATCCCTCAAATTTAGGCTCTATATTAGCGTCCTCCACTACAAAGAGGGCTATATATTATATTTCTCCTTGAATCTATGAGGACCTGGATCTCATGACATCATTAAGGATATCTAATTAAGGTGCACAAGGGCTCAAAAATTTTAAAATAAACATTATTAAAACAAGACAAATTAATAATAAAATTTGGACTTTTTAAATGCTTCGTGGATATCTTAAAGATATAGCATTTCAGTTTATATATTATTTACGTCCAAAGTCCAATATATATATATATATATATATTTAGAAAAGCTAATCTAGTTTTCAAATTTGTCTGAGGGGTATTTTGTATAAGTTAAGACTATCTTCTTGTTTTTTTTTTCTTACTCTATATAAAATAGTTAAGGTGAGTTAAGTCATAGATTAATTAGTCAATAACAAACATATTGATAAATGGATCCAAATTTATGCCTTTGTATACGGATTTAAGCCATGTTCTTACTTCTTACAAATTCCACTAACTTTTGTTTGACAACCTATATCTCGTTTCATACTTGTGTGCCACATATGAGAAACTTTCCAAATTTTGTGTCTATGTTTCTTTATAGGAAAAAGGATACATATATCGCATTCTTTCTAAGCCGCTGGCCTCAAGTCTTTTAACACTTTTTTTAAAAAAAAGACTGAGTCTAGTTTTTATATTTCACGTAAGTGTCCTTCTAATGGAGTGACAATTTGATGGGAGACACGGTATATTTCCCAATAAGGATTCAAAGACTAAAAGTATCATTTGTTGACAGCATATGCTGTTTTTTTTTTTCCCTGATTTTTGCTTATTGTTGAGGTATAGGAAAATGACCTTGAAATCTTTTAAAGACCAACCAACTCATACATGTTAGCACGAATTAATCAAAATCTCCGGTTAGAATATATTTCTAGTCAAATAGCCATTTTTTTACGCTACTTATCCTTTTCCGTGTATACCTATTCTAGTCAAATAAATTAGCACAATTCATAGATAATAGAATTGAGTATATCCAACACCAACAATGGTTACTATAGTTGTCAAGAGCCAGTCTAATGTCCTAGATGGGCCTGTATTTGGGCCTCGTTATCACTACAAAAATTTTGTTGGCAAGTAACTTATACATATATACTGCAAACAAAATTAATATAAGTTATGATTGTTTTGGTTATTTGAATAAGTAATTGGGGGTTTGAATCACAATTCTTGTACATGTAGTAATTTAATTGAAAGAGATCGATTTATTGTTCTTAATACTTCGGGGAAGATATTCTCTGTTATCAACGACACTTACTCCTTGTACTTACAAATAAAAAAAAAATTATGCATGCCCCTAACAAAGTGTTCTTTTTAACTGTGAAGCCTATATCAGTTAAATCTTGATAAATTATCTAATTTGCAAAAGCATTTTTATTTTGAAAAAAAAAAAGTGATCATTCAATCCATAGTAGAGATATATCGTATGGTGTAACTTTTGTTTTTATCAATCATGTCTTGATATCTTATATATTATATATAATATTTACTTAATATTGAATTAATAAGTAAAAAAAAAGGGAGATCATAACAACATATAATAAATGGCTCCTTGACAAATCAGGCAATGTGTATACATAGCAATTTGGTTACTCTAGAATAGAAGAGTCTCGAGGAGGAGAATTAAAAAGTAATAGAGGCTGCAGAATCAAGGACTGCACTTGGATTTGGCAAAAGCAGCATCGTTGGGTTGTTTGACCACAGAAGAACAGTCGTTGCCATGTTGGATTGTGGTTTCGGAGATGACAACGTTGCTGCAATCCTCAATACGAATGGATTCATTATTTGGGCTCTCAGCAGGTGCAACCACTTTCACTGATTTTAATGTCAGGTTCGAGGATTTCATCACGTACAGGTCCAACCCCATCGCATTCGCCGACGTGATGTTCTCTATAACTCCATCCTTCACGTTGTTGAATTGAAAGGTCTACCCACAGAGTTCAAAACATAAGCACACACGTTAGTCATCGTGCATAAGAACTTACACTGCCATAATAATAAAGATATAAATTAAAGATTATTTTTGTTTCTCAACTATTAACTCAAGAGCATTATTATTAAACTTTTGTGTTGTACAATTTTACCCTTTAACATTTAAAAACGGTGCTTAATATGAAAATCTAAGTTCAATATATATATATATATATATAGCATAAGGAAGCTTTTAAACAAAAGCTGTATTTAACTCACGTGTGCTTAATGCTGATTTTTGCAAGGGTGTACCCACACAAACTTGAACATGCGTTTTCATTCAATCAAATGAATAGAAGAAACATGTGCAATAATCTAGCATGTAAATCTCAGGCATTGTTAGCACATTTGTTTTCAAGTTAAAACAAATGTCAATTCCTCACATTTACACATCAATCAAAATTTTTAAAGAACTATATATTCATGTGACTACTTTTCTCATGTTGGAATAATAAAACACACGTACTGTCATCAATCAAAGAATTTACTTATAACAAATCACTCAACATCCTGCCGTTAACTCAATTAACATTGGTTGATTAAAAATTACAAAAAAAAATGTAAAAAATTACAGAAAATGACTCATAAAATTGCAAATGAGCATTCTAAAAGAAAATTAATATTGATTAAGTCTTTAAAATGATGATTGATCAAAATTATATTTTAGTTTTTATATGGGTAAGAAATAACATTTGTATCTTATCATTTATATATAATAATTTTATTATAGATGCTTATGTATAATTTTATGAGCCATTTTGTGTAATTTTTAAGTCACTTAATAATCGAAGTTAATTTTTTGATGATGATAAGGTGCTAGATGCATTATTTTTAAATATTGAAAAGTCAAACTGTACCGCATGAAAAATTTAAGATGCTTACAAATGCGTCTAATCAAATAGTTGGAGGATGAAAATGTTTTTTTAATCCAAAAAAACAATAAAGAATAACTGAGATGGGTCAAAAAATAGGAACTGAGATACGAAGACTCACACTGGGGAGCCTGACGCAGTCAGAGAAAGGCTTGTAGTCGCAATCGAATGTGGAAGGCCACATGAGCTTGCCCTGGGCATCAAAAGTGCCACCACCAAGGAGGCTAACACCAGTAAGGTCTTGGAAGATCAACCAATCAGCATTGACATAATCAGAAGGATCAGTGGAAGCCAAAATGGTGCCTTCCACTTGAATAGTGACAGGATCAGGGGTCAAGCATGGCCCTGCAAAGAACATGGTCGACACCAAGAATTGCCCTTGTGGCACCACCAGCCTCGCCTGCTCCTTTGACTTGCATGTTGCTTGCCATGCGTGCATGAATGCCTACATTCATTTATAACATGTCTACACAATAAAACACCCACGCATATATTTACATGATTTGAACCAAACTATTAGATTTCATTTATCTTCTATTTGTCAACTCAACGATTAATTATCTTAATAACAACATCATCTTTTTTTTAAAAAAAGAGAGTTTTAAATTTGTACTTAATATTGATATGTTTGTATATATTTTACTTAATAAGATAAAAGTTTGTTGTTTGTTGTATTGATATGTTTGTATATGCACGTACTGAACGTGATGAATCAAATCTAAAGGGGAAGGGCTCTTTCCCAACACTTCAATACTTCCGTGGGAAAAATTAAATTTTTTTACTTTGTAAAAAACATTAAATTGGATTTTGGCTCCCTCGTTTCATGTTTGAGTTTCAATTTAACCCTCCCAATTAATAGCTCCTGGATTTGTCACTGTGTATTTGGCGTGTGTTTTCCTTTTCTGTAGGAAATGGCTAGACACATAAAAGTATGCAAGGAAAATTTTTTTTGACTCTGTAGCTGTTGAATGATTTGAGTGCCAATTTTATATATTCAAATTAAAATTTTAAAGTTGGGAGAACACTTGACACCTGGAAATATAACATTATCAAACTTCTCTACAGCACATGAATAGTGAATTCATAATAACAAAAAGTTTAGGTGTAAGCAATGTGTCTTTATTTTGAATGACAAAAAAAAAAAATTGTAAGTGAATTTGGATTTCAGGAACTACCGGTTCGTGATTAACAAAAAAGAAGAAGAAGAAGAAGAAGAAGTTTAGAAATACATTTACAAAATGCCGATTAACAAAGTCACAAAATTTGAAATCGGGTGGATTATGAGCCAACTAATATTTTTTTATCAACAATGTAATTTGCTACTTGTAAAAATTGAATCACCATATTCAAACCCTAGCTAGCCCTAGGGATTCAATTGATTTTTTTTAACGTATGTAATTCACTATTAATCAAGGTTTGATTATTCCACGCCATAAGTAATCACTGTGGAGGCGGAATTCTAAATTCTATATGTACCATAAAAAACTGATTTGCTTTCAATATTTTCCAGAAAGGGAACTCATCTCTTCGAAGTCTGATTAACACAGGCAATTCGCATGAAACCAAACAATCAAGACAAGGAAAAAAAAACAAATACAAAGATACTACATTACATCGCAAAAAAAAATATATTAATCTTAATTAATTTAATTACCTCAGTGCTTTCGAACTTGGGATCGGATTTGGCTCCAAAATCCAAGACATTGATTAATTTCTCAGAAAGCCCGCAATATGCGAGGCCGGCAAAGCATAAAATAAGAACAACACAGGCTTTGCCAGAAATAATTCCCATTTTGCAACCTCTAGAAAACCCTAATGGTTATTTGTACTTGTAATTTTTTTTTTTTGGTTTCGTGTTTAATTACAAGTACGAGGTTCTGGATGGTATTTGTATGAGTTTTATAGGTTCTTCGTTTTGTAACGAATTGTCGTGATGAGTGATTCTATTTTTTCTGGTCAAGTCTGGCTCGGCTAAAATAACTCTTCGTGCTCTTTCGGCATTGACCCTTTATTTTAGGCTACTTCAATGTTCAATCTAAATAAGCAAACATCACAATAATTGTTGGTCAAAAAAAAAAACATCACAATTATTACCACCTGTAATATGTATAATATAATACCATTTTGTTGAGCCGTGAATAATATACCAGTTTATACTCATTCTCAACTACTAAATTTCAATACATGCTTTGCTCAGAATTCTTTCATCAATTTATTAAAAAAAGAAGATTTATATACTTAACCTTTTATGCTTAATACTAAATTTTTATCTGCATTCAAAATAAATAAATTTTTATCTAATTAAATCAAGACATATAGATTTTAATGTGTTAATAATATTAATAACAATAATTTATTATTGAATAAATAATCTATAAAAATATAGATATTTTAATTTAATCGAAAACGAGCATATTAATTATATAAAATTAAGTACATGAGTTTTTTATAATAATACCATTTATTCTTATCTATAAAGATCAACCAATACCCTGCAAATAATTTGAGACTTTATTACTGTGAATTGTGAATTGTGTCTATTTTATGAAAATCCATATAACCTCTCACCTCTTCAAAAATTATGCTTTTTGATTTTCCACTTCGTAACCTTTTAAGGTTTACACACACACACTCCTTTCAATCTTTATTATAAAATATTTTTTTAAAAAAAATTCTTTGATCCTTAATATAAAGTATTTGATGAAATATTAATTATATTTTTAATATTAATCCTATTTAAATTTATTAACTATAAGAAAGAATATAATGTAAATTTTAAAAATATTTAAACATAAAGGTAAAATTGAAAGTTTAATTTTATTTTTAAATGAAGCTAATAATTTAACCATATCTCTTTAATTTTAACAAAATAATTAGAGATGCCTTGTAGTAAAAGTGGAATTGTGGGCGCGCGTGTATATTGTACTATTATGCATAATAATGCATGTTCCTATTATAAATATAGGCTATCTGAAATATAGTAAAATATTTCTTACGTTTTCTCCTTCAATTCTTTCTTAACCCTATATCTTTCTGACCATTTCATCATTTCCTTGACATGCTAACAACACAATATATGCTTAATTATGTTGATTTTTTTTTTCTTGCTATCATGTTCACGAAGGATTAAAAACAGACACCTAACTATAAAAGATATATTTTTGGTATAAAAAAACTATAAAAAGATATATTGAGTTGTGAAATAATTTAAAAGAAATATTAGAATTATGAAAAACGTGATATTGCCTAAAGAATATTATAATTGAATGCATTAATTTACACCTGTAGGATTTTAGTGGATTTTTTAAGTCCATCATTTTTTTTGTTTGAATTCTATGGTAAGAAAACAGCTTATGAAGAATTGACGGAAAAAACTTTCTTCCAAACTTTCCCGTGTAAACTAGATTTCAAAGAACTGCAGGGGACTCATATTAATTAATTTTGTAAAGTTTTATCAAACCTTCATGAAAAAGAATGGGTCTGGATTAATAAAGGGAATCTTGCTTCAACGGGTTGAATAAGTTGAATATATTTACTCTCAATTCTTATTATAAAATATCTTTAACTACTTTATTAAAAAAAAGCAAATGTTATTAAGTTATTAATTATTTCTAAAAATAAAATAAAATTTTTTATTTTACCTCCATTTAAATTTTTTTATATTTACATTGTACTTTCTGTCATAGTTAAAAACTTTAAATATGAATAATATTGCAAAAAATTTAATTAATATTTATATTAACACTTATCAAATGACTTGTAATAATCACCATCCATGTCTTCGAGATGTGCCTATAACAAGACAAGTTAGTAATTACAGATTTATTTTATTATTTTATTATGTATTAAATCACTGATATTTATTTCAGAGAAAATTTCATTTAAGGTCGTTGAACCGCATTTAATGAAAAAGAAGGTTTTTTGGGGCTTATTTGGTAACTTATTTTGTGAACAGTTTTTTTTATTTTTAGAATAAAAAAATTTATTTAATAATGTATTTTTAATAAGTGCTTCAGATAAAAAAATAAAATATTATTTTGAAAAGCAGAAAAAAGGAAACATATTTTAGGTCTTTTAGGATTACTATTTTGAAGAACTAAAAAGAATGAGAAAAATTTTTATTTTTATTATTTTTTTATTTTCAAAATATGTTTTACAAATATATCAGTTTTCAGAATAATAAAATAAAAACAGCTTTAAATAGACCCTTAAACTTTAAAAATTCACTTCATACTAAGGATATTGAAGTAAAATTAAAATACAGAATAAATTTACTTTCTCATCCCCTCTAATTCTCTAACTGGGCTTTGCTCCTTCGAGCCTTTTCTTGAAGAAGCATCTGCTACACCTAAACAAAAATTTGGACCATTCAGATTAAATATTTAATATTTTATTTTTATTAAAATAAGAATTATGAATTCTTTTAATAAATTTTGTTATCAATCTAAACAGTCTAAATTTAACATTAATGGTCCAAATTTAATATTTATTTTTTTATAAATTGATTATCCAAACAAGTATACTCTAAACAGTACAGATTTAACATCTATGCAAGATTGTTAAACTCACGAGTTTAAAAAAATTTATAACAAGAATGTAAACTCATATCGTAAATTCAGATTGTAAACTCATAAGAGTTTGCTTTTATTAACAAATAGCCATTAAAATATAATTATAATTTAATTTAAATACATTAAAAATATAAATAATTAAAATTAAACCCATCTACATTGATAAAATACCATATATAAGACATAAAAATTTTAAAATAGTGAAACTTATTTTTAGTATTTTTGTTTTCTTTTTTATTAATATTAATTTTTTGCATTTCAAGTTTTTTTTCTTTGAATCAGGTCTTATCACTTTTATGAACTGAATTTTTCATAATATATACTTAACTCACTTAACTCAAAAAAAAATGACGAGCTCGACAAATTTAACCAAGATTTCATCTAATCTGAATTTATAAATTAGTTAACACGATTTTAAAAGTTAAAAACGTAAAAACGATAAATTTAGAGGTAAACTTACGAGTTTAATCAAGTTTGTATCTACTCTGAGTTTATGAATAAGTTGAAATGATTTTGTAAGTTAGAAATGTAAAAACATTAAACTTGTAGTCAACTTAAAAGTTTGACAACCATGCATGTATGGTTCAAATTTAATATTAATTTTTTTATAAATTAATTATTCAGATATTTTATGGACAGTGCAAATATCTATTAAAAAGTATTTTTAAAAAAATATTTAAAAAATTACAAGTTAAATATTTTACATCAAACTGTACATTTGAATAACTAACTTATAAAAAATTAATTTTAAATTTGGATCATTAATATTAAATTTAGACTATTCAGATTGATAACAAAATTTATTTAAAAAAATAATTTTTAAAAATTTTTATTTTAATAAAAATAAAAAATAAAATATTAAATCTAGATCATCTAAATTAATTCTGAATGGTCCAAATTTTTATTGGATACAGTGTACACTCCTCTAAGAAAAAGCCGAAGGAGTAAAGCCAAGTCCTTAATTCTTTACTAAAGTTATTCATTTTTCTACGTAAAATTGTACATTAACCTACAAGAAATTGTTCATTTGTTGAAAGTTGAAGCAAAGGATATAAGAATGTTGATATTGTCCGGGACCTCTCAAAAGACAATATGGGACATAGCCTCCTTACAGAGGCGAGGGAACTTATTCTAAGGAATTGGAAAGTTTATCTTGGTTTTTCTTGTAATGATTCAAATGTTTATCTGTTAGAGTTGTTTAGATTATGATTAGTTAGTTCTGATTTTAATTTTTTTTGTGCTTTTTACCATCAACTCTCTCATAATTAGAATGGGTGGATAGTAAAAGGCAATTGCCCGGCTAAGTTCGCACGACTTGTACAGTGTTTTTGATTAATAGACCTCTTCTTTTTTTAAAAAAAAAAACAAGAAGATGAATGGCACAAATAATTTTTATAGATTAATGAATTTTTATATAAAAAATGAATAATTTTAATAAAAAATCAAAAGATATAAAGGATAATGAGATAATTTTACTTTATATTTTAATTTTACTTCAGTATTCCTAATCTCGTCTAAAGGAAATTTTCAGAATTTAAAGGATTTTTTTTTAATTAAGTATGGTTAAAGGATTTTAAATAAATTTTTTCAATTTATTATTTTTCTTATAAATTCAATGAGGCGCCGGAGCTGTTCCACTGACACACTGCGAAGTGAAAGCTCAACGAGTTACAGAGGGCAATGGAAACAGCAGACCACTACAAGTTTCTTCCCATACGAGATGCTATGAAAGCTATTAATCAAAAAGTGAACATAATAGGCATTATACTTGAATTTGGCTTCCCAAGGCGAACTAGGGGCACCGGTAAACTTTCTGTTCCCAGAATCTCTGCTTAACACCAGTACATCGCACTGTTTCCTTCTTTGTCCTGCTCACATGTTTGTGCTTCTCCAAGCTTAAGTCTTTATAGGCACCTTAGTTTTACTGAATGTTACCTCAAAAAAGCTAGGTTCTTGTTTATGTTTCTGATTGAGTTGGAAAAATGGAAGTTCTAGGTTATTTCTACTGTTGCTGGTTGGCTTACTTGAATAATTTCTGCAGACTACTGTTGTACGCTAAAAATAATTGATGAATCATATGAGAAACCTGGGATATCAGTTAATGTTTTGCTGAAAGTTCGGAAAGACTTCCTCATGTTGTTGCAAGTGGAGATGTTGTTCAGTTTTGTAATGTTTTGGTAAGTGTCTTCTTACTACTCGATTTGATAGTACATTCTGTATCAATATGCTTGCTTTGCTTTTCTGGACTAACGTTGACCATGGAATATTTTTATGCACTGTTTTTGTGAATTGTATTTGTTACACTGTACTACTTTTAAGTAAAGTTTGGCAATATGCTGGTTTGCTCTAGCGTTCTTGCTCTAACTTCAATGCCTTTAAATAATGAATTTATCAACGTTTCCATATCATATGCTTTTTCTCATGATGGTCATGTTTTGACTGCATGAAGGGATCTTGGATTTGAGGAAACAAAGTGCGGTTTCGTGATGATAGTGAGATACTTAGAGCATGTGGTTTGACTTTGTGGTGGGAAATATCAGTGACGTGAAGGAAATTAGGAAAATTTTTCATGATATCATATCATGTGAAGGAAATTTGGAAGTTTTATGATACAACTCATGCTCATCCCTTGTGATTGGGAGGGTTTTAGTGATGTCAAGGGGTGCTTCAGTTTTCCTGAAAGGAATAAAAAGGGGGAAGGAATAATAAGAGTGAAAGAAAGCAACTAGCCATCTTGGTCAAACACCCTGAATAAATTTAATAATCAAAATTTGACAGACTTAAATATTAAATTCTTCTCAGTGTAGTAGGAGGTTGTAGATTTCAAAAATATGAAAAACCTTTTGGTGGAAAAACTCAACATCCCGGAGGCATATATCAGGGGACTTTTGCATGTATATTGTAGTGAAACTTCTTAAGATTTAAGAATATTTTATATGATGTTTTAGGTTGGTTTTGAATCAATCTACTTAATTTGTTGATATGCCAATATTAGAAATATTTCTGTTCATCATTACATGTTATTTATTTAATCCTTTTTTCATGTGGAATGTGTAATCATGAGTTTTCTTATAATTTTAGTTAACAAAACTAATTTCACTGCTTTACAGTATAATGTAGTATTGAATTGCAAGAGCACGTGTGCACACAGGTGGAATGCAAGTTGAAATAAAAAATTCAGCATATGAACTTCCTACAAGTCACTGATCTACAACTTATATTGATTGAAGGATGACCATAAATGACTATGATATGCTCTATTTTATTAATTATATGTAAAAGTTTGCTTTATTCTTTAAGTTTTTAATATGTGTTTTTTTAATTTTGTAGATAAAAACGCATGGTGATGAAGTAAATGCTGTCTTCAATAAAAAGTTTTCCTCGTTTGCATTATATAATGGAAAAGACAATGATGAGTTTGTTCCTTACCAAGTTTCTTCAAAATTTCATCCAAGAGATGTGGATAAAGCACTCATAGACAAGCTCAGAAAGTGGCTTGTCAGTTTTCAGCTTATTGAAGGTAGTCCATGATTGTAACATTCAATATGTTTTGAAAGCAGCTAATTTATTTTTATGGAATTTACTCCAAACTATACTTAATATGCATATGCATGCACTTACTGTTCAAGGCACACACAGCACTTTGCATCAAGTGTTGCAACATTGCGGTGCAGTACTGCAATGAGAATAATATAAATTTTATAATCCAAAATAACTGTAACTTGTACATATTTATGGGTTTCAGATACCAAATAAACTATGTAATAGCCCTTTAGATGTGTTTAGCTTTTGCTCAATCAAGAATTGCCTACTACAGAAATCAATGCATGTGTGAAAACTCATTGATTTCGTGATAGCTTTTGTTTTCTTGTTAATTTCATCACCTTATATGCTATATTGGTGCTCATTTCATACGTGTGAATATTTAATTTTTGAACTTGCTGCATAGATTCCAGTAACTATCCAATGTTAAGAGAAATCAAGGAAGGAAACTGCTTTGATCTAGCATGCAAGGTATTTTTCTTGTTCTGATTTTTGTATCTGATTATGAGACTTTAGTATAGTTGAAATATTTAAGTTTTAGCTTTCTTTATCAAGACATGCCAATGTTCTTTTACATCCCTTCCCCCTCTTTGTGGTGGTTAAACAAGACAAACACCTTTATCCTTTTCACCATTATATAATTCTGATAATCTAATCCTCACCTTTTGATGTTTTGCAAATCAAGGTACTTCATTGCTGTGAGACTGCAAATCATGAGTGGATGGTCTTCATTTGGGATGGCACTGATTTTCCGCCAAACAGTATAAGTGCAAAGTGAGTTAATTTAAATTTAGTTTTATATTGCTATTTTAATTTTTGTCCATGTCAATGTTAATTTTGGATAAGTCATATGGAAGCCTATTACTGGTATTTGTTCTTGTTATAATAGAAAAAGTGCTCTTCTCCAACTATGCTGCATTTTCTGTCTTTCGAAAGGTAAGTAGCTGGATATGGGCATCTGCGAGCATCACTTCCAATTATTTATACCTACTATATGCTTCTGCTTTCCAATTTACTCAACGTTGAGATGGCTGACAAGCAGCGGAAAGTGTAATAGGATATTTGATGTCTGTGTATAATGGGCGTTTATTTGCAAATATTTGTTGTTTGTACGTAAAAAAGTGAATCTAGTTTCTCTTCTATCAGAACTCAAAAACTGTCCCAGTTCTTATCTCAACCTTGCAAGAAAGATGATCTCCTCCAGCAACTGAGGCACCTTGGTGTTGCCAAGTTGCACTATGTCCCTAATTATTATTAGTATTATCATTATTTTGAATACAACTAGGCAAGCTCAGTGCTTGGGGAAATTAACTACACAATTAAAGAAAAAAAGATCAACAAAAAGCTTAACCAAACTCATAGTCATTCTGCATCAGGGCCTTGCAAGCTTTAGGGATCATGTGCACCAATCTCAATTTCTCGCCTATTCCATGAGCATTCCTTGTAAGGAAGTCTGCCATCCTAATAGTTTTCGATATGCTTGATGAATATTTACCACCCAATCAGAATACATTAGGCTCCTAGTTTCTTCAAGGATATCTCTGAATCTGTAATCAGCTCCTCCATCCCTCATCAACATGTTAATAGCTTTTAGTGAATCAGAATACAACTTGACTTTATCAAAACCCAGACTCTTGCAAACCTCTAGTTCCAATTTTATGGCACGAATCTCAGCGGTGGCCAGAGACATAGGACCAAGTTCTTTCTCGAAGCCTTTTATCCACATGCCCTGTGATTTCTTAGTATGCTCCACATGCTGCAAATTGGTTTTGCTGCACAAATCCATCTACATCAACCCGGACAAAATGATTAGGTGGGGAACCCATTGAGTTTGAGGTTCACCTACTGTGTGAAAAGCTTGTTTCTAAGTGTTCCATTAGTGACATCTTCCATTAGGATGCCAAGCACTTGTGAAGGACTTCATTAGTTGAAAATGATTCATTCCTGAAGATTTTCTTGCATCTAGTAGTCCAAAGACTCCAGCACACCATCCCAAAAATTT